CCCAATCTGCATGTCACTTTCACTGCTAGAGAAACTATGTTGCTATTTTGTCAGATAGCTCTGTGAATAAATTTGCTGCCTCTTCCTTTTATCCTTTATTGTATCTACAATATTGAAAATCATGGACTATTTTACCATAACCTGGTTCATTCCAAATAAAAAAAATGAATTTAAATATTTCTTTTAAAATATTTGTGTCTATATTTTACACTATGTAAAACAATATTGGAATAACCCTATGACCACTAAACTGGGTGAGAGTTAGGAAGTAAGATGGCAGAAAACACCTAGAACTCCAAGGCAGATACGTCTTTGTTACTATCTTTTCTGCTTCTCAAGTTGCACAGAGTAAACAGATGAGAGACATGGGTCTCAGTTCTAAACAATAAGAAAGGGTCCAGGAATTAAGAAAATCAGTATATTCTGATTTAATATGCATTTTTATCCCAGGTTCCTATAATGCAGAGTGAGAGAGAAGGCTCATACCATGAGGAAATAAAGAAGACAAAGAAAGGTATAGACGCCACCAGCTGCAGGGTGCGCCACTCTCGCAAAACAAAAGCCAGTCCTCCCAGGATTATCTGTCCAACACTACTGGCAGAGGTTAGCAGTGTTATTACCATGGCTTTTGACTGGGATCTTGTCCACTCCACAACTGAAAGAAAATCCAGTTGGGATATTAATATCAGATAAATGTGAAACTTCAAGGTCAAATTCAAGGGTTGGAAAATGGAGTAGACCAAAATTGTTGACTTACTGAGTACACCGTTAATTAACATGATGACCACCACAGAACAACCTGACCAGAAGCGTAGTGAGCAGTAAATGAGGAAGGTGGGAGCAAAGGCCGTACAGGTCCCAGAGATGGCGAGCTGGAGCAAACACCATCTGAGAATCAACCTTCTCCCAAACCTAGGCAACAGAGAGGCAGGTTAGATTATGCAAGCATAATAATATGGGTAAAAATTTATGATAATGAAAGTATATGCTAAAATATAGAGAATGTTTTAACAACTGATTCTTTGTACCTGGAAGCTTAAAAAATTAAGAGCTAAATCAACAACAGAAATTTCCTCAAAATAACACTCCTTGTCTATAATATACACTAGCAATGCCAAAACTTCATCCTCCCTCCAATCACCAGGGGGACTCTGACAACAAGTGATACCACATAAAAAAAACTACACTGTTGGAAATCATAATATACCAAAAGCACCCACTGTATTAGCATATGTAGTTAGCATAGCAGACAACATATATAGTATCTAGAACACAAGAGAGCAAAAATTGTCTGGTATCTAGGACCAGATTGAATTAAGACAGAATTAAATTAAGGCTAAACTGATGCAAAAGATAGTTGACAAAGCATCCAAGTTATTTAACGTTTATAGAAGTAAGTACCACTTTTTGTTGAATCTGGATTTAAAAGCCTTAGGCAATGTGTTTTACCTAGAACACAATATCAGTACCATAACCCAGACAGAGGAAATTAAAGACATTACTCAGAGGAAACAATTACGTAAGATGGATAACGACGGTAAAGGTCAAATAAGGAAAAGAGAATTCTGTGTTTCTTGAGTGTCAAGAAAAGGAGACATTAGTGGATACCACTTGGACTAAACAGGATGTGCTAATCCATTTGCCCAGTAATTTTTTTAAAATGGATTGGAATTGGGAATTCCTCTACCATATTTAAAATAAAACTCTTAAAATATTCAAACAATTCACCCCCGCAAAAAAGGCAGAAAATGTGAAACACAGGAACAAAATTAGCATCAAATAATTGTAATCATAATCATTATCGCCATCAAGAAAATAATGTAGAAAGCAAAAAATAAAATGGTAGACTGAAACAAAAGCATAACAACAATCACATCAAACTAATCGGTAACGGCGTAAACACTCTATGAAATGATAGAGATTACCAGAATAGGTTTAAAAAATGATCTAATTTTATACTGCCCACAATAGTGCTAAAATATTACAGGTTGACAGTAAATTGAAAGAAAAAGATGTATAATTCAAACAGCAATAATAATAAGGATGATTTCTTTATATTAATATCAAATGAAATAAATTTCAAAACAAAGTACATTTTCAGAAATAATAATGCTAAAAATGTCAAATGTATCTGACCTCAATGAAAGTTTGAAATACACACAAAAAAAATGACAGAATTAGATAAAGTCAAATTCTATAACCATTAAGCAATACCTGCCTCTAGTTGCCCCTTCCTTCTTATCCTACTGATAATCTCTAATATATGCTCTGTCTCCATTAATTTGCCTATTTTAGATATTTTATTTAATGGGATGCATATAACATTAGTCATTTTGTTCCAGGCTGATTTCATTTAGCATAATTTTTTCAAGGTTCATCCATATTGTACCAGGTACCAGAACTTCATTCTCTTTCCTGGATGAACAATATTCCATTATATACACATATGTACATGCTGTATTTTGTTTATACATTAACCTGTTGATGGATACTTGATTGTCATCTTTAGGTATTATAAATCATGCTGTAATGAACATTGATGTACAATTATTTAAGTCTATTTTTAGAGTATATACCTAGGAATGTATTTGCTGGTTCGTATGACAATTCTGTGTTCAGATTTTTGAAGATCTGCCAGACGATTTTCCACAGTGACTTCACCATCAATGTACAAATATTTTCAGTTTATCCACATGCTCGCTAACACTATATCTGATTTTGTTTTATTATACCCATAGGTGTAGGTGTAATTTGGTTTCCCATACAGTTTTTATTTGCATTTCTCTAACAACTGATGATGTTGAGGATCTTTTCATGTGCCATATGTTTATTTTTTGTAGAAATATCTATACACATCTATTACTAACATTTTAATTGGTTTGCAATCTTGTTGTTGAGTTCTTTATATATTCCAGATATTAAACCCTTATCAGATAAATGACTTCCAGATATTTTCACCTATTTATAGGTTGTCTTTTCACTTTCTTGATAATGTCCTTTGATGCACAATTTTTTTTTACTTTGATCAAGTCCAATTTACCTATTTTTCTTTTGTCATTTGTGCTTTTGGTCTCTAAGAATACTTCTATGCTTTCTTTTAAGAGTTTTAAGGTTTTAACTCCTAGATATTAGTCATTGATCCATTCTGATAATAAATTTGTGTATAGTGTTAAGTAAGGGTAAACTTTATTCTATTTTATGTGGCCATTTAGCTGTTCAACAACATTTTCTGAAGACAGTGTTCTCTCCCACATTGAATGATTTGGCACTCTTGTCAAAAGTCAGCTGGCTATAAATACATGGGTTTATTCCTAGAGTCTCAGTTCTATTACATTGCTCTGTGTGTGTGTGTGTGTGTGTGTGTGTATTCTCCTTCTGCCAAAATATTTGTTTACTATTGCTTTATAATAGTTCTGAAACCAAGACGTGTGTACTCTGAATTTACTCTTCTTTTTCAATGTTGTTTGGCTATTTGGAGACCCAAATTCATATGATTTTGATATTCAGCTTTTCCATTTCTAGAAAAAATAGCATTGGAGTTTGATAGGGATTCCACTGAAACTGTAGATTGCATTAGGTACAGTTGACTTAGTCGTAATATTAAGTCTTCCTACCTCATTAACATGGGATACATTTCCATTTATTTAGGTCTTCTCTAATTTCTTTCAGCAAGGCTTTATACTTTTCAGTGTACAAGACTTACTCTTCCTAGGTTAACTTTTTTCTAAGTATTTTACTCTTTTAGAAGATTTTGTAAGGGTAATAACTTCCTTGATTTCCTTTTCAGATTGTTTACTCTAGGTATATAGAAAGACAACTGATTTTTGTGTGCTTATCTTATATTTAGCAACTTTGTTGAATTCATTTATAAGCTCTGATAGCTTTCTTTTGCATTCTTTGGAATTTTGTATATATATATATGTATATATATATATATGTGTGTGTATATATATATGATTATGTCATCTACAAATATAGGTAGATTTAACTATTCTTTTTCAATGTGGGTAAATTTCATTTCTCTTTCTTTTCTAATTGCCATAACCAGATTTTCCAGTATAATGTTGAATAGCAGCAGTGAAAGTAGACATTTTTTTCTTTAAATTTTGATAGATGTATACACCTTTAAACCACTACCACAATCAAGATAGCTAACATTTCCATCATTCCCCAAGAGGTGCAATTTTTGAATTCCCAGTTTATCCCTTCCCACCCCTTTTACCCCCTGATAACCATAAGTTTGTTATCTATGTCTGTGAATCTGTTTCATTTTGTAAATAAGTTCATTTGTGTCCTCTTTTAAGATTCCACATATAAATGATACCATATGGCACTGTCTCTTTCTGGCCCACTTGACTTAGAATAACGATCTCCAGGTCCATCCATATTGCTGCAAATGACATTTTATTTTTTATGGCTAAGTAGTACTCCATTGTGTGTATATACCACATTTTCTTTATCCATTCATCTGTCAATGAGCATTTGTGTTGTTTCCATGTCTTGGCTATTGTAATTAGTGCTGCTATGAACATTGTGGTGTAAGTGTCTTTTTGAATTATATTTTTCTCCAGGAACATGCCCAGGAGTGTTATTGCTGGATTGTATGGTAAGTGTATTTTTAGTTTTTGTCTTGCTCCTGATCTTAGTGTGAAAA